CATGAGGAACATACAGATCATGAGGAACATTAGAAACATGAGGAACATACAGATCATGAGGAACATTAGAAACATGAGGAACATTAGGAACATACAGATCATGAGGAACATTAGAAACATACAGATCATTAGGAACATACAGATCATGAGATTAATAATAAATCTTTAGTCCGTAAGATTCTCATACTTTATTCTTCACTTCATTCAGATATAGATGAAAATATTTCAAACAGCTGAACTTCCGTCTTCTTACTTTATTATTTGTCACAAATAATCAACTGATCTTTTGTTTTTTTCTTATTTGAAAATTCTTTCAGGATTAAAAACACTGACTTTACGTCTCTTCCTTCTCTCGTCAGTACCTCGCCTCGTTGCTCCTCCATAAAAAGTTCGTAGCGGAGTTCATTGCTCACGGAGGAGTCCAGAAACTTCTGCAGATCCCGAGGCCCTCGATGGCAGCAACCGGAGTTTCACTCTGCTTGTACTATCTGGCCTACAACCAAGACGCCATGGAGAGGGTATGAACACACACACACACACTCTCTCAGATTGTCTATGATTCTAATGGTTCCGATCATTGTAAACATTTTCATCCTGACACAATGTGACTCTGAACTGAAAACTCGATTTAGAGTCAAGGAACCGACTGAGCCTCACTCCCCTGCTCTCTATCTCTACTGTGTGTGTGTGTGTGTGTGTGTGTGTGTGTGTAGGTGTGTATGCTCCCAGACGGCGTTCTTTCCGACATGGTGTCTTACGCAGTGTGGCTGCTGGAGTCGTCCCACGCTTCAGGCGTGTGCCACGCCACCATGTTTTTCTCCATTTCCTTCTCGTTCAGAGCCATGCTGCAGCTCTTCGACCAGCAGGACGGGCTGCGCAGGCTCGTCAACCTGGTCAGTGCTGAATCTCCTGAGCGTGTCATCACAGTTCTCTTTTATTTAACAACTAAATATTTAGGGGAGCCTCGTTGTGTCTCTGCAGGTTAGTACTCTGGAGATTCTCAACAGAGAGAGTGAAGTGTCCATAATGAGCGATGACCAGGTTTTCTCCAGCCGACAGACGGCCAAACATACCTGCATGGCCATCCGCAGGTACAGCCACATGTTGTTATTATTTTATTTCCTTCGTGTTGGTGCTGTAAAAGTTTTTATGCTAAGCTCTGACTCGTACAAACTTTGTACCTGTTCTTTGTCCCTGCAGCTGTTTAGCACAGTTCTATTAAAATAGATAATTGATGACTTCTTTGACTTTATCCAGGTATTTTGAGGCTCACCTGGCAGTGAAGGCCGAGCAGGTGAAGCAGGCCCTGCACACGTCAGACAAAGGCACCATCGTTCCCCAGCAGCAGTTTTACAAGGTACGACATGAGTTCATAATCATCCTGTTTGTAGAGGAACCGATCAAATGTTACATTTCACCGTTTTAACAAAACAAATCTCTTAAATAGACTTTTTTCCAGCATGACACAAACAGTCGACCGTGATTTAATCCAGAAAGAAACATTATTGTGAAGAGAACATCAATGAACCCTTTTCAGACACAGTCTCACGTCCGTCACACGTTAGAAACCTCATCAATACGCCCACGCGCTCACTCTGATATTTTACTTTGCAGCTACACAAAGTAGGAAGTGAAGAAGTTCAGAGTAAAAACTAATTTAACTTAGAATTATCCAGTTTAATCAGCCACTGCTGCTTCTAGTACGTTTGTCTTTTTGAAGAAATTCAGAAAGGAATAAAAACACAGTTTGTATCTGCCTCCATAAAAAACCTTACATTTACATTCCACTGTGTGTCTCCAGGCTTACACGTACACCAGAGAACAGGTTATTGAGATGATGGAGTTTCTCATCGAGTGCGGACCTCCGCAGCTCCACTGGGAACCGGTGGAGGTTTTCTACAAGTTGTCCTGTGTCCCTTTAATGCTGCAGCTGATCTCTGCGGCCTGTGACTGGAGGACTTACTATGGAAGGTAAAACGATTTTCAGCCCGATCATTCCTTTTAAATTGATATATATCTCGAGAACATTTTGAGGTTTTCTGTAAATTAAAGTTCTTAGAAGCAAAATCGGAATCCGCAGGTCAGACCTGAAAAAAGAAATCCAAGAAAATTGCAATCGTTGCATCTCTACTTTTTGAAATAAACATTTACGACTTTGATGAGGAACTTGATCCATTTGTCTCTGTCCAGGAGTGACACTGTGCGTTATGCGCTGGACATCCTGGCCATCCTCACTGTGGTTCCTAAAGTCCAGCTGGTGCTGGCAGACACTGTCGATGTTCTGGATGAAACCAGGTCGCTGGTCTCCACTGTGGGTCGGTGAAACTCTTTGGTTTTCTCTGTCAGTGTCTCGTCTGGCGCTGATTCATTGTTGTGCTCTTTCGTCCTGGTTGTGTCTCTGCTGCAGGCATGAGCATCATCCTGGGCGTGGCTGAGGGCGAGGTGTTCGTCAACGATGCTGAGATCCAAAAGTCTGCACTACAGGTAAGAGAATGATGTTAAAGGAGAAGTTCCCGCTCAGATATTTACCTCAGGTCTGTCAGCAGGATTACTCAGAAACTACTCAAATGATGTCTAAGACATTTTGTGGATGGGTGGGACATGAACCAGAGAAGAACTCTTGTTTCTTCACGTAGTGTGATCGCATGTTTTCATTGATTTCATTCAGAGGACACATAATAATGAGTGAGCAATGTTTAGACACATTCAGTGTCGAGGACTTTAGCGAGTAAAGAAAGTAACCGAACACTGTGACGCTGTGGTCCAGGTTGTTTCAGAGTCGGCTGATCCACGTTTTGATTTCTTACCTGCTTTAACAAACTTCGACAGCATCACGTTCACAAATAAACCCTGGCGACCTGAACTCCACCCTAACACACAGTTTCTGACCTCCCAGGTCATAACAAACTGTGTGTGCGCTCCGGACCAGAGCCTGAACACTGTGGGGGCCTTTGCTGTCACCCCCCTCAGGCCGTCCCTCCACCCCCAGCAGCCCCCCGCCCCCCACAACAAGGTGCTGGCCCACATGTGGCAGGTAGTGCAGAACAACAACGGGATAAAGGTAAGAGTTAAGTGCCGATCAACAGCGCCCCCTGCAGTCACATGTGCTGATTCATTCCGTTGGGCCCTGTGTCCGAGTGATGACGAGGTTTTCATGTGAAGAAAAAACAAAGTCTGTCAGTGCGTTGAGCTCCGAGACTCACTTTAATCAAGCTGCTGCTTCAAGGTAGAAAAGTTCAAATGTGTTGATTGAAACCTTTTTGAACAAAGGTTGCTCGGGATTTTTCAGGAAATGTCAGGTGCACCGAGCAGCAGTGGAATAAAGACGAGTAGACGTGTATTTACTTGTTTGATTCTTGTGGACTCTTAACTGAACGTTATGAACCGTAACGCCACTTCCTGAATCACGGACCATCCCATAACTCCGACCCTCTCGTGTTTCCCAGGTTCTTCTGTCTCTGCTGTCGGTGAAGATGCCGATCACAGACGCAGACCTGATCCGCTCTCTGGCCTGCAAGGCTCTGGTCGGACTCTCTCGCTGCTCAGCGATCAGACAAATCATCAGCAAACTGCCGCTGTTCACCAGCGGACACATTCAACAGGCAAGATTTGTTTATGAGAACGCTCAAAAGATTTTCTCCTTTTCTCGACTACTGTGCGTATGTGAATAAAAAATGAATCTTCTACGCGGGCGTCGTTATGTGATTTGACATAAAACATAAAAATGTTGAACATTTTATATTTTTTCACTGTAAATTCTGATTCACAAGAAATATTCATCGCACAGGTTTGTGTTTTAGTTTGTTCACTCACAACCTCACGTGTCCTTCTGACCTTCTGACCCCTGCAGCTGATGAAGGAGCCGGTGCTGCAGGACAAACGCAGCGAACACGTCCGGTTCTGCCGCTTCGCTGCCGAGATGACGGAGCGAGTGTCTGGGAAGCCTTTGCTCATGGGCACCGACGTGTCGCTGGCTCGTCTGCAGAGGGCCAACGTGGTCGCACAGTCACGGATCACCTTCCCTGAGAAGGAACTCCTCGTGCTGGTCAGGAACCACCTTGTGGCCAAAGGGCTCCATGACACGGCCAGCCTGCTCGTTAAGGAAGCTAATTTAGGATCCTTGTGTCCGAACGCCTCATCCTGCATCACCCCTCCCCCCTCCTCACTGATCCCCAGGACTTGCCGGCTGGTTGGTGGGATCGCGGCCCGCGCTGCCAGCCACGTCGGATACTCTCCCGTCTCCTCCACCTCTCCTCCTCCCTCCCGCACCCCGGTCACGCCTCACCCCTCATGCTCCTCTTCCTCGTCTACCTCCGCCCTCCCTACTCCGCCGCCTCCTCATTCCCACGGACAGGCTTCACATCCAGTTGGACGGATTTTGTTCACACGTGAACGCCCTGCGGCCAATTGCAACTCAGGGAAAAAACTTCGTGCGCTGAAGCAGAAGTCTGACCACGGTGCTTTCATACAGGTCAGTGACGGGTTCGGTTTCTGTAAAGATATTAACATTCTGGCGATCAGTCCGTCTGTAATTATTTAGTCTCGGAACATGAAAACCTTTTTGTCCTGAAACTATCATGTTAATCAGGAAGTGACGGTTTAATATTTTGGGTTTCGTGATGTTTTTATTCTGTTTGTTTGGTTTTCAGCAGCTTTATACAAAAAATACTGAACAGATTTCCATGAAACTTGGTAGAAGGATGAGACATAGTCCAGCAAGGACGGAGCGGTTTCATTTGTCCTCACTGGACATTATATATTCTTGTGGTTTGGGGACTTGTTGGACAAAGAAACTCACAGAGCAAGATTCATGAATAAAGATATATTCCGGGATCTGTCCCCATCAATATCTCTGTATCCTGGTATTTATCTATGTTGAGATTAGGACTGTTGGAGACAAAGGCTGCGTAAAGTAACTGTTAACAACAACATGTATTTACTGTGAAGAGTTTCGCAGTCGGAGTGATGATGAGTGGATCTGTTGTAGGAGGAAGGTCACAGGTTCAAATCCCAGCAGCACATTAGAGTTTTTGGGAGAGAGAGAGGTTTTCAGAACAGTTCTCTCATGGTGGAAAATACTCATCCGTTGACTCAGGTTCAATTTGAATCATATGTTTTTATTTCTCTTGCTCAGACTCCGGCCATGAAGAAGCAGCCGGAGCGCCACCTCCCTTCCCCCCCGACCCTTGACAGCATCATCACAGAATACCTGAGGGAACAACACGCCCGCTGCCCCAATCCCGTCACCACCTGCCCGCCCTTTTCCCTGTTCACCCCGCACAGATGCCCCGAGCCCAAGCAGAGGCGACAGGCTCCGCCCAACTTCACTGTCCGCCTGGGCAGCAGGGTTCTGTACCCCAAGTATGGAGGTGTGGACAGAGGGTGTCTGGACCGACATCTGATATTTAGCAGGTAACGAACTGACGCTCGCCTCTTTAGTAAAAACACTTCAGCACCGTGTGTTTCTGTAACATTTAATTTTTTGTGCATCCTCCCTGTGGCCTTTTCTTTCTCCCCTATTCAGGTTTCGCCCAATGTCGGTCTTCCACGAGGGCGACGGAGACGAGAGCGGTTTCACCTGTTGTGCCTTCTCAGCCCGCGAGCGTTTCCTGATGCTCGGGACCTGCTCCGGTCGACTCAAATTCTACAACGTCTTCTCCGGAGAGGAGGAGGCGAACTACACCTGCCACACGTCGGCCATCACACACCTCGAACCCTCCAGGGTACGTTCACACCACATTTCATGGATCAGTGGTTCCCTCCTGAGGGGTCGCACCACACCGAGAGGGAAGTCGCGAGATGGGTTCCAGAATTTAAAAACTATTATAACAGTTTCATTTTATTTTATTTACAAATGATGAAACAAAAGTGGTAAAATAATTTGTTTGAAATGTTGTTTGAATTTCTCTGCATCAGTTGCAGTAGGTGGATTTACAGCAATGGTCCTCTTCAAGTTAAATGAGTCAAATAAAATAAAAATAAAAGTATGGTTTCTGTTTGTCAGGATGGAAAACTGCTGCTCACCTCTGCCTCTTGGAGCGTCCCCTTGTCTGCTCTCTGGAGTGTGGATGGTGTCTTTAGCATGAAGTAAGAGACACACACACACACACACTCTTTCTCTTTATGAACAGTGATGCTTTGACGTTAATGAAATGTTTCCTCTCTATTCTCAGGAACTCTTTTGTAGATGATCACTACGTTGAGTTCAGTAAACTCTCTCAGGACAGAGTCATCGGCACCAAAGACCAGGTCG